GTACCAGGAATCAAACTCACGCCCCTGCACTTGCCAGGCAGGCGCTGTGCTGCTGTGCCGCTGAGCTAAATCCCCAGCCCCTGCCATTTATATCTGTTCGCTTATTTATTGTTGTCCATCCCCACTACAAGGTCACTTGACAACTGATGGGTATTTCACACTCACCACTATATGACCAGTGCCAAGAATACAGCTTGCACATTGTAGCTGCTCAATAAATGTTTGCTGTATGAATGGAGAGACACATCCCCAAATCCTCCAGCTTCCCAGTCAGCCAGTACCTGTTTCAGTCTAACCTAGATCCCGTGTCCTCGTGTTTCCCAGCCAGCACTGGGGACTGAATCCAGGCCTTAGCTGAGCTATAGCCTCAGCCCTTTCTTGCTAAATTGCCCAGGTGGGACCTGAACCTGTGACCCTCCTGCCTGAGCCTCCTAAATGCTGGAATTAGTGACTTGCCTCCGGCTCCATCGCCCATTTTGTGAGCTCTTCAGGTCTTTGTTCAAATGTTCACCTTCACCAGGAAGCCTACCCGGTCTGAAAACTTCATGGTTCAGCTCATGGACTGAACAGTTTTCTCAGGACTCAACATTTTGTTTGGCTTCCTCCCAGTAGAAGATAGTTTCAAGAGGTCAGAGATGTTGGTCTGTCTTCTTTATTGATAATGCATTAAACATGATCTAGCACACAGTAGGCGTCCAATAAATATTTGTTGCTTTTGCCAGGCATGGTAGCACAGGCCTGTAATCTCAACCCGCTGGGTGGCTGAGGCAGAATGATGGCAAGTTTGAACCCAGCCTAGCCAACTTAGTAATTTAGCGAGACCCTCAAAGAAGAGAAAAGGAGAAAAAAAAAAAAGTGTGAAGACCTTGGGTTCAATTCTCAGTACCGAAAAAATAAATACATGAATATGTATATATATATTTGTTGTTGTTGAATGCTAAATAAGGATGCATTCCATGGCTGGGCGTGGTACCGCACATTTGTAATCCCAGCACTCTGGAGGCTGAGGCAGGAGGATGGCCCGTGAGTCTGAGGTTAGCCTGGCTGCAACATGAGTTCGAGGCCGGCCTGAACCACATAGCGAATCCTTGTCTCAAAAAGACAAAACCAATTAAAAAAAAAAAAAAAAAAAGCATGCCAGGCCAGAGCAGGTTAAGGCTCGATGTCGGGAACTGCCTTACGAAACACTCATGATTTGGCTCGGCCCACAGGCGAATGACGTGCTCGTTCACGCGCGAGAACGGGCCCGGCTCGTACCCGCGCAGAAGGGAGCGGAGAGTTGAATTCCGCGCAGGCGCTGAGCTGCGGGTGGGGCGGTCTCGGTTCGTCAGGTGCGCGCGCGCGGGAGGGCGGTGGCGGAGGCGCGGTGCGCAGGCGCGTGGCAGTGCGCAAGCGCAGAGGAGGGCGGGCTGAAGCAGCTAAAGCGGCGGCGGCGGAGGCTCCGGCATAGGGGCGGGAGCTGAGGCGGGAGCGGACGGGCTGGTGGTCGAGCGAGAGGCGGCGGAATGGTGGACTACCACGCGGCGAACCAGTCGTACCAGTACGGCCCCAGCAGCGCGGGCAATGGCGCTGGCGGTGGGGGTGGCATGGGCGACTACATGGCCCAGGAGGACGACTGGGACCGGGACCTGCTGTTGGACCCGGCCTGGGAGAAGCAGCAGCGCAAGGTGTGCGGGGCGGGTTGGAGGGGGGCTTCCGAGGGAGGCCGGGCGCGCCGGGGAGGAGGGCGGAGGTCCCGAGAGGGGATCGGAGGGTCTGACGCGAATTGTGCGACCTGAGAAGGAATTGGCGGGCCTGGAGAGGGCTTTGAAGTCCTGAAAAGAAATCGTGGAGCTCGAGGAAGGAATTGGGGATCTGAAAAAAATAATAGGTGCCCGGGTAGGAAATCTGGGAATCTACGAGAAGGGATCAGGAAGCCCGGCGATGGTTTGGAGGGGCTGGGCGGGGAACGGGGAGAGTGGGGAGACGGAGAGGCTGAGATGGAATCGGGGTCTGAGGCGGGGTCCAGTGTCAGGACGCGTTGGGAGGGCTGAAGGCGGCGAGCACGGAGCCTGGGAAGGGAATCCGTGGGCCAGGGTGGGATGAGGGATCTGGGAGCCCGAGCATAGAGGGGATTTTTTGAAGTCCAGAAACTTGGGGGAAGCTCAGAACCGGGGGAGCCTTAGGCTGGGCGGGGATCCGGGAGAGACGAAGAGTCAGATTAGAAGGTGGACTGGGGGGACCAAGGAGGGGGTTGTGGAGTCTGAAGGGGCACAGGAGCATTAGGGAGCCTGGGAAGGTGAAAGGAATATAGAGGAGGTAAGGGAAAAGGTCTGAAGAGACACGGGTTTAGGGGGTGAGAGTGGGTAGGGGTGCTAGGGGGTCTCTCGGGACTAGGGGTCTGATGGGGCGCTGGCGGGAGAAGTTAGGGACCTGTGAATGAGATGTTTGTGGAGGAGTGAGATTTATTTGTGGTGCTCGTGCAGAAGAGATGGAAAGATAGAAGGCGTTAATGGATGGAGAAGCAAAAGGGTGGGGGGAACAGTGCTCGGAGGTATTTTAAAGAGGGGTTTCGGGAAAGTTGAGGTTGGGAAGCTGAGCAAAGGGTGGAAGGAGCCTGAGGAGGGGGCGAGCGAGCGCGGTGGGAGGGCACGTGCGCTGGAATGGCGGAGGACGGGAGGGAGGGTAGTTTAGGAAAATCTCCTTAGAGAATGAAGGTGTGATGGGTAGACTGAGAAAGGCGTGGGGGGTACCTTGGGAGGAGGAAGTAAGAGTCCAGGGAGAATCGTGCCTTTTTCTGGTCGGGGAGTGGGTGGTAAAGGGATCCTACAGCGGAATGTGTTTTCTGGTTTACTTTGGGCTTTGGAAGCAGCCTGGGGGCCTCAGGAACGAGAGGGAGATCGGAGGTATAGCGGGAGCCCAGGGAGAGTGTTGGTGTGTTGGGGGCGGATAATCTAACTTGGGTGAGAGAGGGAGCTCTGAGCGATCCAAGAGAGGGTTGGAGGGTGTGTGGGAAGAGCTAAAGAAAGGAGCGTGTGGAGTGGGCATGTGTGGGGCGGGGGTGTCCAGAAGGGTGCTGTGTAAAGAGGGCGGGAAGTACTTAAAGTTAGAAGCATTTAATGTGTTATGGAGATCTGGATTTTCCTTTCATATTTGTTACTAATCAGCCCTGTGGCCTTGGGCAAGATCCTTGATCTCGCAGAGTAGTTGTTACTTGTCAAATGAGCAAAGGTATCAAAAGGACCCTCCATCATTCCACAGATGTGGATGTGTGTGGACGTGGGGCTTTGGGTGAGGAGGACTCTGAGGAGTTTGGTGGAGGTTTTTCAGGATCATGGGGACGGAGTCCGAAGTGGAGAATGACTGGAAGTGTGCTGTGGGCACGAGTTGGTGTTCTGGGGCTGGGCACAGGCTGCCCAGTCTGGAGGCTGGCAGAGAAAGTGGGAGGAGGAACTGTTCCAGGGCAGCCTGAGGTGGGGCCTGGCATAACCTTGGCTGAATTACCAACGTCAGCTTGAACATACACATCAGTCCTAATGGGAGGGAGGAGGGTGGCGTGGCTTCCTGGGGTGGTGTCCTTTGCCACTGCCCCACCTATCCAGGGTGGGCACGTTGAGATAGCTGAAGCTAAAATGCATTCGGAGAGGAAGGGGAGATCGGTCTGGAGCCCCGACAATAATTTATTGCCTGAGGCAGTGCAGGACTGGAAAAGGCTGAGGATTGCCAAGAGGCTTGGAAAATTGGGAGGGGGGCCACAGCGTCATTTTTGAGAATGCCTTGGATCTGGCCTCTCCATCTCCAAGTGCCTGAGAAAATGAGCCCCAGCCCTTTTTTCTCAGGTGGTGCTAGTAGGAGACCTTCCTTTTCCTGTCTTCTACCACTCCCCAAGTGGCTCCTTTTGCTAGCTCTTTCCTCCTCCGTTCTGAGAGTTAGGGTGTGTCCGTCTTCGTGGTTGTAGTCTCCCTTGCCACAGGGTGAGGCTGGCACACTGAACGCTGGGCTGGAACCAGGTCTACCGGAACCCCAAGGCCTCCACGCATGTGTCATTCTCCTTCCTGCACCCCAGCTCCCTTCCTCCAGGGCCAGGCAAGTTTGCAGGAAAGGGTGGCTCACAGTGTCCTTTAAAACCAGCTGCTTTAGATTCTCAGTAAGGACCAGGTTCTAGTACACCCTGCCTTATACCTATTCCAGCAAATATTTACACCTGGCTGTTCTGTAGGGGAAACATATGGCTCCACCTCTGTGCCCTTTCCCCTGTAGGGTAGGGGTCGTTTATGACATGGGAGAAGGAGCAGTGGAAAGGAGTACAGTTTTATGCTGTTCTCTTCCAAGAGAACCCTCTACCCTCACCCCAAACAGTGTGGCTGGTCTTTTTTTTATAGTATGATGTTGCTTTAGAGAATGACGGATTGTTCTGCTTGCCTCTCCAAGGCCAATCCACTATGTGCAGAAAGAGTGACGGTCTTGTACGTACATACTTACATACTCTGAATCCTGTGTCCAGAACAGCTGAAGCACGGGTTGGCCCAACTCAGAGAATGTGTGTCTCATATCTACCTGGATGCCCTTTGCTCTGACTTCTAGGGGCCCCAAGGCGTTATCTAATAAGTAGGTTATGCAACAGTTTTACACAGGAAGGCTTGGAATATTTTCCTGGGGGAATGAAGGACTGGTTTGGTCTTTGAGGAAGAAAAAAATGTCCTGGATTCAGGTGATCCTCCCTCCTTAACCTCCAGAGTAGCTGGGATTACAGGCATTCTTGAGCAATTAGAGTCCACAGTACCCCTTCTCAGTTTCTAAAAGGTGCCTGAGTAGCCTTGGCACGCTCTGGTTTCATGAAAGGGTGAGATCTTTTCATTTGTTTTTCTTTTGTTTTTTTGAGATAGGTTCTTGCTATGCAGTTCAAGCTGGCCTTGAATCCACTTGGAGCCCAGGCTGGCCTCAAACTCAGAGCAATCCTCTTGCCTCAGCCTCCTGAGTGCTGAGATTGCAGGCCTGTGCCACCACACCCAGTTTAGGGTGAGATTTTTTGACAGTTACCCCATGACTTGTCATCACAGCAAGAGGACAGACCTTGCTTGCTAAGCCTGTTTGTTCATTGGAACATCTTTATTTGCAGGACCGCAGTGCTTAGACCCTGACCTTTGGCTTGGGCTCTTTTAGGTGCAAGTTAATTATTTGAAAATTCTGATTTTGTTTTTCCCCAAGTAGGTCAGTCCCTCTTTTCTCCCCACCCCTCTGTCTCTGTCTCTTTCTTTGATGGAGGCCCTAAAATAGCTGTTATTTTGTTCCATTACTCTTAATTGCTTGCCTGGCTAAGACTAATAGGTCCTTAGGAGTTTTTAAGAATAACATACTTACCAAAAAAAAGTTACTAAACCAAATTCTCCTCCAGAAATAAGACTGTATACACATGTGAAGGGGGCAAATAAAAATCTCTGCATGCCCTTTTCAGAGCTGTGTAGGGACAGCTACTCAGCTGCTGTCATTCTTTCTCTTCTCTCTCAAAAATGTCTTAAAATGACTTTTCTAATGACTGAGGAAGTAGGTATTGGAGGATGGCCTGGGAGCACACGCCTGGTTGGGAGTTGAGATCTGGTGGCTGTGAGTGGTGTCTGCCACTTCACCTAATTTTAGGTGGTTCAGGGTGTGGGCTGGGATTGCCTTCTGCCTTTTGAAACACCCTCCCTGCTTCTGGTTTCCCAGGCCAGCAGGGAGGCTACTTTGGCAGCAGGGAGCTGACTCACCTTCCAGTTGGAACTAGTGCTACAAGCTGTCTTTTAATGGTAGCCAGTTGCTGGGGCTTAAGTGGGTTGCCTTGTTGGAGAGTTGGGTTAAAATGTTGGAGGAAACAATCCAGGAAGTGAGGTTGGGTCTAAATGTCTAGGTAAGAGGCACTCAGGGAGATGAGTTAAAAGGTAGACTTGTACTCTCAACATATCCTCTTAATCAAAATGGGTTGAAAAAAACAAAACAAAACAAAACAAAAAAATGGGTTGGAGGGAGCAAGGGCCAGCCTGAATTCCAGTCTAATAAGCCTCTGGGGTGGAGAGTTCTGTCATTTGGACACTGTCTGTGAGTGTCATGGCAGACTTTGGCCAGACAGCACCTTTTCCAGAGTTAACTGAGTGCATAGTACGTTGTACAGGTTATCTGCCAGTGCTGTCTCGCAGATGACAACAAGGAGAGTGGAGCCAAAAAAGAATTGATTTGGGAAGGCCCAGGGAATTTGAGACTGTTTAGATGAACACTTTAGGCTTTTGCTATACCGATTTATAGTGTGCTGGGAATTGCACAAGCCTTTGACCACATCATAGGGTTGTTCTTTAAACACACAGTTGCTGCTGCTGCTGTTGCTGCTGCTCCTACTGCTCCTATCTTTTGAGGGGAAGAAAGGAGGGCAAGTTAGGGAACAGCTGTTTGCCTTAGTACCCTTGTTCCTTTTAAGTTTCTAAATAGCCAGAATAGCAGCATGTTAATCTCTTCCCTGGGCACTTAATGTATTCTATCAGTGTTTCCTCCAGCTTTGCCCTTGTTTTCTTTACTCAGTGATGTCTGTATTCTCAGCAGTCGCATTGAACTCCCTTCCCTCAGTTTCCTTCAGTTCCCTTTATGTATGTATTTAGTTTACAGCCTAACAGAACACTTACATTACCTTGTTTAACACTTTTCCTCTCCTTTGCTTTTT